TGTGAGGTTTTGTGCAGTTCCGTAATGTAAAATTATCTTTAATTTGTATTTGTTGTTAACCATAACAGAGAGGCTGCTTGCCACTAGGACTCAGAAAGGTCCCTGGTAAATTTACTGCAATACTGCTAGTAGACCAACCTGTGGCAAGTTATAATGACAATTTCTAGTGATTGATAATATAGCTGGGGATCCTAGGTGCTCAGATAAGTCTTTTGACACTTATCTAACGCTCTCCATGTCCAGACATTCTTCCATCACTGATTCTAATCTCAGCTTCCGACAAGTTCTAAAAGCTGTCAGGTGCTTAAGGGAATAAAAGTCCATTGGGACATGAGCTGCGGTGTATCACACCTCCTGCTCTCAGCACTCCAGCTGCTCATAAGCTATTCTGTATCTCTGTTCCAGCTAGGAATTCTCAGTAGCCAATTAAGTTCCTAAGGGTTTTTTTTTTCCTGCCTGTTTTAAAGCCTTCTAAAAATAACAAATTTTATAGATCAAATCCTGCTCTTCTTCCCTGAGCCAGGGGCCTCCTGAAAGGCAAAACTTCCGTTGACATCAGAGAAGGGCAGGGTTTTCATTTTTTCATTCATTTCAGATTCTGTCCTCAGCTACATATGCATTGCTTCTCTTTATTTCAGTGGCAGCTGGGAATGCATACTCCATTGCAAGCTCCTTGGGACAGAGACTGTCTTTGTGTGACGTATGTAGTGCCCAGCAAAATGGGGTAGTAAGCCTTGATTGGGGCACGTAGGTGCCACCACAATGCAAATCATAACAAACTAATGAACTGAGAGGCAGGATTTGACCCAGGGACAGGGAGTGTAAAAACATAGCACTAACTTTGTAAACTAGTGTTTACATGAAGATATATAGCAGCTAAGGGTATATATAAACAAAAAGGTAGTCCCCCTCTCTGGGCATCTCTGTTAGCAAGAAAGAGACTATAGATGACCCCCGTCACCACAGTATCTGGGCACCTCACAGTCTCTAACCTCACACCCCCTATGAGGCAGAGCAGTGCTAGTATTCCCCATTACAGATGGGGAACTGAGGCACAGAGAGGCTAAGTGACTTGCCCAAGGTCACACAAGAAGTCTCTGGTACAGCAGGGAATTGAACCCATGTCCTTCAAGGGCTGAATGAGTGTCCTAACCACTGGGCCATCCCTGCTGTCACACCTAGCTCTTCTATGTTGCAGGCAGAATCTGGAAAAGATTTGGGGCCAAAATTCACTACTTTTCCATAGGCCAGTGCCCAGTCAAATTAATCATGAACTGCTGCCATATGGGCAGCTCTGGCACACTCCCTTAGTCTGTTGGTCATTGTGGCTTCCATCCTAGGCATCCGTAACCACTTTTGTTTCTTTTACCTCCGGCGCTGTCAGAGCTCTGGGGTGCCCAGCGATGTACATGAGCGCAGGGAAACATTGTCACGGTGGGGTTCACTCACTGGAGTATTCTGGGGTTCTGCTGCGCAACATTTGCCCCTGAATGCTGGTCTGTGGGAGCATCAGGTCTGCGTGTGGATTGTCTGTCTCTGTCAGTTTCCTCTTTTGCCCTTCCTAGCATTTGTGAAATGTGCTGTTGTTTGGAGACAACACTTCCTCCCAGTGACTGGCAGGTGGCGCTCTTCACTACTCTCACGGTTTGCTGAACGGTGGACAGCTGGCGACAGGATAGGGAGCTTTTAAAGGCCTTTTTCAGACTGTGAACTTGCGGTAAAGGGTAGAGGAAAAAGGGGGTGCAGCATTCAGGAGCCATCCGTCCAATAGGGATTTTTACCAGTGATTATGCCAGAAGACTTGAATCCCCTTGATCTTTGTGGCGTGATCGCGAAATGGACATCGCAGTTTAGGGACCACATCTCTCTTTGTAACCGCTCTTTTCAGATGTGACTAGTGATTCCGGCCACTTTGATTTTTGGGTGCCCAGCTTCAGATGCTTTGCAGGGGCATGATTTTCAGAAGTGCTGTTACGTGCCCTTTAAAAGGCACCTCAGGTTGGGCTCCCAAAAATCAGTAGTTACTGTGGAAAAATTTTGACCCTAAATCTTTTTCAGATTTGACCTTGAGTCCATATTTCCTCACCTGCTGCCCAGCTCTCCCCACCCTCCTTCAGAGCTGGGGGGGAACTCTGCTAATATTCTAGTTTCTGCTGGTGTTTTTTGCCCCCCTTCTGTCTACTATTAAAGCTTAGAAATCCAAAGCTGCTACCTTCCTTTCTGGCAGCGTTTCTCCCAGCAGAGAACAAAACAGGGCTGGATTACTTTTTGTGGGTCCGGCACCAAACATATTTGTGGACCCCCATGGGGGCAATGGGGCATGGCAGGTGGGGTCAGTCTCCAGAGCATGGGGCCGGCTGGGGGCAATGAGGCAGGGGATGGCACGGCAGGAGTAGCCCTGCTCTGCAAAGCCCAGCATGAGGACACCGGGTTACAAACTGCAGCTGCCAGACGCACACTGGCCCACCCAGCCCTGCACTGCCAGTGTGCCCCTTCCCCTTGGGGGCAGGCCTATGCCACACCGCCCCCCTGCCCAGTGCCCCACCCTAATGCCCAGTGCCCCCTTGCCCAGAGACTGCCAGCACTGGTCTGAGGCAGCTCATCCCGAGGAGGCAGGTGGGGCCCCGCAGGTGGCGAGCAGCAGAGACCACCCAGCCAGAGCCGTGCTGGGGAGTAGGGCAGACCCAGACCCTGGGACGTGACCCCTGGGAGCCTGTTCAGTCCAGCCACGCCACTGGCCCCACGCCCAGGGGTCAGGCGGGAGGGATGGGGGTGAAGAGGAATGAGCAGTGGATGGGGCCTTGGGATATAACGCAGGCAAAGCAGGGTGTGGAGGCGGGGCCATGGTCTGGACTCCAGGGCTCCTGAGTATGGGCCCAGCGCCACGGAGCCACTGGTGCCATGGTAAACCCGGTACTGCAAAACACCTACATTAATTTGTCTTTGCAACTCTCCTGCAAGCACTCTCCTCGTGACCCACCAGGGATAAGCTCCAGCCCTGTTCATAGAGGCTGACTGTTTTGGTGTGAGCTCATTCAAAATGGCAGTGAAAGTTCTTGTTGTTTATTTGAAAGGATAGGAAAAGCAGAAGGACAAAGCCACTGGGGGATGAAATACTCCTGCCTTTCTCCTATCAAAGGTAATGAGAATCTAAGGGGCTGATGGTGCCCCGAAGTTCTATTCATTACTCTGCATGGCATAAGTGTTCTTAGAAATGACCTTTATGCTAAATCCAAATAGCGTATCACTTACATAAAATTCTGGAATTGAATAAAACTCATCAAAGTGCAATTGTCTCATCTGAAGATCTGAAAAGCAATGTAGCCTTTTAAAGCAAATCCCTGATGATATAAACACTTGTGTCATGCACCAGTCTTTGATACTAATGCAGCACGGCACGTCGAAGGCTTGTAAATGGTAATGCCATTCTCATCTCTGAAATATTAAGTAGAGGGAGGAACTCCAAAAACAATGAATTCAAAACTTGGGTGTCCTCCCCACAAAGCAACGTCCTTTCCAAAAGTTATTCCAGCTTGTTTACTACTTGTTTACTAGTTCACTCCTGGACCCAGACCTGTTAAAGTGTAACCGCATCCAGTAGCAGGGTAAAGCAGAGCCATGTTAAATAAGGTACAGCTCTCAATGTCGTGATAAGTATTTGAGTTTTTCACTCTTATACTTTGCCTTATCTAAGCTGAGCTGCTCCAGCTATCTGCCAAGGCAGCAGTATATGTGGGACCCAGCTCTGAGCCCAAATGACTCACCTATTAGAAGTATCCAAATGTGGATTTTTCCTAGAATGTTTGTTTTTAACACAGGCTGAGGCCCACTGGCTGGAATACACCTCCAGCTGCACGGTGACAGTGTCTTCCACTCTGATTACGTCTGTAGAGCAGTTTTTAACAGATCAAAGTGCGCTTTACGTAAATGATAAACTACAGGGATATTATGTTTGTGTAGGCTGGCTTGCAAAAATATTTCTGATCATTATTTATCAGCTTATTGCCTTTTCAGATGTCCAGCACTCTAGCGGTCAGGTGAAAAGAGGGTCACATGCTATCTTAATCCTACTGGATTCTTTCAAAGACTTTCTGAAGACACAGTGGGTCAAATTTTCAGCTGGGTAAATCAATGTAGCTGATGGAGCTATGCCAGTTTACACCAGCTGAGGATGTGGCCCACTATTTTTGCCATAGTGACTCAAAATTTTTTTTTCAAAGTGGAGCCACCTAGAAGTACATTTGCTTAAACTAAGTAACCATGTGACACTGCTGTAACCCTTGTCCTTCCTTGCCCCATCCGGTCCCTGCTGTGATCCTCACTGCAAACAGATGTGCCAGCACAAATCAATGGGACTCCTCGTGGGCCCATGCATCTGCCTTAGCAGATCCGATCACAGGATCGAGGCTTCTGGCTGTAAGCTCTTTTGAGCTGGGACTGTGTGTAATTGTGCTGGGAAATAACTTGGCATGTGTTTGGGTGCTGTGAAAATATTGATGATAAAAAAAAGAAGCAAATTGTTGCTGCTTTAAAGCTTGGAAACTAGGAAAACATTTCTCACTTTAATTGAAAAATTGTCAAGACAAGCACACGTTTGTTGGGCGCACATACACACCCATACACACACACACACCAGGCACACACACAAATACACACACACACACACTCAGGATACGGAATGACGACATACTCCACCATTGACACAAGACATCCTTAGAACACATCTCACTGGCTGAGAATAACTTGAAGACAGAACATAATTACTTAGCAACTTCAGAAAGCTGATAACTTTTCCAAATTAACCCATTCCTCGGTGTCACATACCCTATAAACCTGATACAACCTGGTTCAAATAACCAGTCTGTCTTTCTGAATGAATTAAATAAAACCTGTTCTGGTAGCAAACCCAGTTAGTGGAGTCTGATGACACAGACGTATAAATCTTCAGCTTTGCAGGGTCTTTCTCACGGTTGTTTTTGTCTTGGTTTCTGTTTGTCCAGAGGGGGAGGAGGAGGAGGATGAAGAGGAGGATGAAGAAGAGGAAGAGGAGGAAGACAGAGATACAGACTCAATGGAGGAAAGCATGGAGGGTGACACGGAGCTGCCAGGTTTCACTCTTCCTGGCGAAACTTCCCAGGAGCCCGTAGTTGGCATAGGAGACTCTGCAGCACAGCTGGCTGGGGTATCTTACCAAGTTCCAGACACCATTGAATGGGAACAGCAAAACCAGGGCCTTGGTAAGAGCAACTCTTCTCTTCTTTCTTCAAGGGGGAGTGTTCCTTGTTTTGCATTTTTTGCTCAGAAACCCCCTGGGCTTTTCACTTATTCACTAACCCCCCTGGGCTTTTCACTTATTCCCTAAATCCGGACTAGTGTCACTGTAGTCAATGCAAGTACTCCAGATGGACTCCTGTGTAACTGGGGTCAGAATCTGGCTCTGTGTCCCCAGTCAAATAACATCCCATTTAACGGAGAACCCCCTCAGAGCACCCGTGCTAGCCCTTTGTTTCCAAAGCCTCGCTCCGTATTACTCTGCTGACACTCTAGCTGGCTAAGGTAAGTGCTGCAAACTGAGCTTCAAAGGGAAAGTTGGGGGCCCTCTGCTGGAGGAGAGGTGCAGTAAAGTGAGGCCCGCTAGGACAGGGAAGAGTAGTGGTGAGTCAAGCATTTTGCAACTGCTGCTCTCTGCTGCTGCATTCCTTTCAGTGCCAGTTTCCTGGCATTTCACAGGAGAGGTATCTATTCCAGGTACATGGGTCAGCCTTGGAGGCAATGAGTTCATGGTATGTGAGGCAGCACTGGTGAAGGTTACAAAGCAAGGCCTGCATGAAATTATATTCAGTCTATTCAGCCCAGCTTATCTCTAGCCCTGGATTGCATGAGCAGATCAGGTATCCCCACCTGGGAAAACCACCAGTCTAGGAAGGCCGTGCCCTAGATCAGTCTCCTGGGCCTAACCATTGCAGCATGCACTGTATGCGAAGTCACCAGCTGTGTGGCGAACTCTGCTGCACAAGGCAACGTAGAAAGCTTCAAAGACAGCATCAGCCTCTTCTACAAACTTCTTTGGTCACAGCTTTAGTTGTCTGCCTTATTATCGACATGACGTGAATTTCCCATCCATGTGCGCCGCAGCTGAATGTGTTAGGAATTGAAATGGGGGCTAGCAGCCATCTGAGGTGAGCAGTGGACCTGAGGTGTGGGCCAGTGGAAGGTTTACTAAAGAGAGAGACCACCAAACTCGGCTAAGCAAAGTAGCAATTGTACCAGTGTCATGTTCTGCATATTGTGGGGCCCAAACCAACTCCCATCAAAATCAGTGGGAATCTTTCCAGTGTCTTTGATGGGAGCTGGGTCCGGACTAGACAGAACACCCTTGCGTGTGACCATTAAACATCTGGCCATTCTGATGGGCCCTTCAAGCAAACCATTCTCGAGTCCTTTTATCCGCAGCCTCTATCATGTATTGTGTGATTATAACTTACACTTCTGCCAGGGGTTCAATTCCTTGTATTTGGCGGTTCTTTCCCCTGTAAATCTGTTTCCAGCCTGCTCTGGTGGTGGTAGTTTTCTCTGATGCATTTTTTGAGATCCTCAACTGCCAGGCTGCTCTTTCCCTGCTGAGGGCAGATTGAGTTTGAGTCTGATCTGACATCGCCCTGGCTGACTAAATCTTGCGTGGAAATACTGTTTAATATTTCACATGTAAAATCTGCATGGGTCTTGTTAGCCCATTAAACTGGACAGGAGCAAGGTGTGAAGTAAATAATTCTGATTCCTTAACTCCTTTCTGGTTAATTTTAAAGAATTGGATTTAGAGGAATAAACAGGGGAATATTTGGGAGAGAAAGATTGCACTGGGAGAGCCTCAGAAAGCTTTTCATTTGTTCTTGCGTTAGTTTTATGGTGTCTCGGAAAAAATGATAATGGACCAGATCCTTTGTGCTGGCTTGAGCAGTTCAGTGCCACCAGTGGGATGACTCACATGCTTCCAGTTAAGCATGTGGTTAGTCTGATTCAGGGCCAGAGTGCTCGACAACTGGCAGGTTTGCACCCTGGATAAGTATCTCTGCAAAGCTTTGCCTCTTGAGCTGCCAGTCATCGCCAGATGTGTCAGTGTGTTGTAGCCATTTACAGGAGTTCTGTCATATGTATTAGAGCATATGTATGTTGACATGAGTTCTGTTATAGTATTTACCATGTAACATAAGTTTGTGTTATAGTATTTACCATGTAACATAAGTTTGTGTTTAAGGGTGTTCACCCCACACCAGAAAGGTAGGGGTTAAAAGCAGCCTATGAAGCTGTGCAGGGAGCAGCCAGTCAGGGCCCAGCGGGCTTACATAAAAAGAGCTGCTAGGCCAGAGACACTCAGTTCCTGCAGGGAGTCCAAGGGGAAAGGACTGTGTTCCTAGCAGGCTGCAGGACAGAGCAGTTGCTGGCAGGGACTGGTGGAGCAAGGAGGAGCTCCTGGCTGGCTGCTGGGACTTGCAGGCTGGAGACCCTGAAAAGAGGGCGAAAAAGGTGCTGGGGCTGCAGGGCAATGGCCCAGGGAACTGAAGCGGTATTGGCAGAGAAGTTAAGGAGAAGCAGCAGAAGGCTGCTATCTACAGGGTCCTGGGCTGGGATCCAAAGTAGTGTGGCCACTGGGGAAGTGGCTGGACTATAGCATTGGGAGATACTTCCCTCCCCACCCCCCCAGAAGGGGGAACACATGGGTGGTGGCATGGCTGGAGGGTGGAATCATGAAAAGGACACTGCGGTTCGTGGGCTGAGACGGGTCTGCGGGCGGAAAAGGTGGCGGCAGAGGCACCCCCAGAAGAGGATGTGCTGGCTGAAAGAGCTAGTCCCTGAGACAACCAGCAGGTGGCGCCGCTCTGGTGAGTGGCCCCTGACTAAAGTAGGATGAATGATCCCTGGAATATAGATTATTTGGGTTATTTTCTCCAGAGAATTTATACAGCTCCTCGCCAGTTCCTCTTCCTGCTCTTCAGAGCACAAATGAAGCACTTAAAATGTTTGTTGATATCAACAGCTATGTTCCTCATAACAAATGAAAAATGTACATTTGGACCATCACTTTGTTTTCTTGGTCTGTTTTCCAGAGCCTGTTCCAGCTGTGTCTAGTTGAAAGTTTTAGATCCTAAAAGAAGACAAACACTTAATCAGGTTTCTCTTGTTGAACCAGAATCAGCCTCCAAATACATCTAAATATTAACAATCCTATTCGCCTTCTTGCAATGGCAACTGCCATCATAACTTCTGAGTAACTCCTACCTGAAAATATCTAGAATCACAACAAGCCTGTGGTCAAATTGTCTGGGGGTTTTGTTTTGTTTTTCCCAAAGGCAACTTCTACTTTCTCTAGTCGTATTTCCTTTTAACGACTGATGCAATAAAAAGGCTTATGACCCTGTTCTGCAAACACCATCCAGCGTAGTGCTCAGTGGTACTACACATAGTAGTAAGCATTATGTAAGGACTTGTCTACACAATGAGTTGTTCCTGATCAGCTCCATGTCTGGACACTCCAATCCTGGAATATGAGTTTCCATGGGTGGAGTCATTCAGGAATATTGATTGCATTTTAAATTCACACCCTTCATTACTCAGAAACAACGTTCAAGTGTAGACAAGCCCTTAGTGTTTGCATGATTAGGCCTTCAGAGAGAAATACAATTCACACTTAGGCCTAGGCACAATGGGTCAAAGCGACCGCTCTGTTTTTACACTCTGCAGAAGTTACATCAGTATAATACTGGAGAAGTGTAGTCGTGAATTAAGCCCATTATATTAAAAGTAAAAATTTGATAGTCTCATCGTTCCCTGGTGAGGTGGAAAAGAGAAATCTGAATCTACACAGGCCATCTGGTGTTAGTCAGTTACAAGAGTTAATAAGATCCACATGGTTCTGTAGGAAACACTTTGATTATTGATTCCATAATAGAAATAAAGTTGGAGGCAAAGATCAAGAAAAAGGAAGTATGGGTAATATCCAGCAGCTTCTCCCAGGCTCTAGCAGAGAACAGCAAAAAGGTGGGGTAGCCTTGGGAACTCTCAGAAAATACGGGAATTGGGTTGTGCTAAACAGCACTCAAAGAGGTTAATTCAGAAGAAACTGCTATGAAAAATAGGTGAAATCAAGCTTCTGCTTGGGATAATAAATGTATCTTTATAAACCTATCAAGGTAAGGGGAAAACAGCAAGGGTCTTTTTCACACACATGTAATAAGACATTTGAGCTGATTTTGGTCTGACATTGTTGGCTGAATATACTGAGAAACAGCAATCTTGCAACATTTTAAAATGTTACTTTGAAATAGCAGCTGTTCGAAAAGGTTTATGTGGCCAGTTAAAGCGAAGTCTCGGTAAGTTTGGCTAGATCAATGTACTATCCAGCCTTAACTCTTACCTCCCGTTGTGCGGAGAGACTTAGAAATATTGGCTAATACAAAAAGCCACATCTGTCTAGGCCTTCATTCTTCCCATCAACAGCAACAACAAAAGGGATTTTTGTCTGACTTGATGCTAAACTAGGGTCAGCCACATAACACCAGCAACCAAGTTATCAGGGACTTCCCTCTGCAGCATTTTTTTCCCTCCATTTCAGCCTTGAGTTTTAGAAGCAGCCGAGAATTCCTTTGCCAGTTCAGTGGGACGCAGGGGAGATGCCGTTACCAATATCCAGTACGATGTGTACAAGAGGGTCCGGCTCAGCTCTTATTGACTTAGAACAGTTTCAAATCAGTTACAGAAGGACGCAGATTAGCAAGGCCCAGTGATACAGTGTAAACCTAGGAGGGGCTAAGACCGTCCCAAAGGCTGCTGTTATTCCACGTTCTGTTCCTAGGTACCCCTGCAGTGCAGAGATGGTTGGAATCACAGGCTCTGAATCCCTAAGCTAGCCAGCCCTCCCGAGAAACGACAGCCTCAGCAGTAGAACAGGCCGAAGCACAGGCTACCTGAAGATCAGGCCAAAGGTAGTATGGGTGGCTTCCACGTATAAAGTTTTGGGTAAGCAGGGCTGAGGAGAGCCATGCCCCCTGCAGATGTTTGTAACAGGCTGTGGGGCGAAGCTAGGCAGCCTGCTGATACCAACTACCCAGCCTGCAAACCTCCTGCAGTTTAAAAACTAGTCTCGCCTGGCTTACTCCCTGCTAGACTGCAAGGAAATCAGGATCAGCTCAAAGATGAGCTCCTTTTGTATGCTGTTCCCCTTCATGGTTTCTGACACCAG